TTGGGGGGGGGCAACAGATGGGAGGGCTTCTGGAGTTCTGGCCCCACAGGTGGACCTCCTGATGATACCTGGTATTTCTGGCCCCTGTGACACAGAGGGTTGGATTGGGTGGGCCATCGGCCTGATCCAGCATTGGCTTCTCTTGTGTTCTTAATGGCTATTAGCCCCAAGGTATAGATGGAACACTGTCTGGGGCCAGGGATTCTCTGTCTTCTTGGTGCTTGGGGGGGCACAGTGGGAGGGCTTCTGGTGTCCTGGCCCCACTGCTGGACCTCCTGATGGCAGCTGGGTTTTGGCCACTGTGTGACACGGAGGGTTGGACTGGATGGGCCACTGGCCTGATCCAACATTGGCTTCTCTTATATCTGAAGCAGTAATGCTCTGTATTCTTGGTGCTTTGGGGGGGGGGCAACAGTGGGAGGGCTTCTGGTGTTCTGGCCCCACTGGTGGACCTCCTGATGGCCCCTGGTATTTCTGGCCACTGTGTGACAGAGTGTTGGACTGGATGGGCCACTGGCCTGATCCAACATTGGCTCCTCTTGTGTTCTTATGTGTTTAGTGTCTTGTGTAACAGTTGGTTCTGTGTTGGGTTCTGTGCTGCTCTTTTTTGGTCTAATAAAGTTCGTGGTTCTTTTGTGTCTGCAGGCCTCTGTGGTTACAACTCTGCTTCTGTGTTTGTGTTTTGCTGTTTAGTTGTCATCTTCCTTGTTGAGAGTGTAAAAGATCTGGAGTTTTCATATCCTGACCAGTTCCGGGTGTGCTGCTTCCCTCTCTCGCAGCCAAGAGGCTTAATCTGTCAGCGTCTTCCCCACTGAATTGCCTTTGAAACGTGGGGACAAGAAAGGGCTTGTTGTTGTCAGCATGTGGATGTCGCTGGCTCCCCTTTTGTGTCTCCGGAGATGCCAGGAACTATGGCTGGTCGCCCCGACAGTTGTTGTTGTTGGGGGGGGACCCCAATGTGGCTTAAATGTTGCTGTGTTCAGTTTGGCTTCAGTTTTTTGGGAAGGCCACAGGGTGGCTTCGACCAAGTCAGCCTCTTTCGGCTTAATCCAGTTAGTTTCAAGCGGGGCAGGCATGTTGGTCTGAAGCAGCGGAGCGAAGTGTGAGTCCCGTGGGGGCACCTTTCAGACCAGCCAAGTTCAATGCTAGGTGTTAGCTTCCGTTTGTGTGGGCACGGGAAAGCTTATAGCCAGAATGAAACTTTGTTGGTCTTAAAGGTGCCTCACCGGACTGCAGCTTAATCCCGGGTCAGCTTCCAGATGGATCTCCTTTGGCTGGGTGCGAGTTCTCAGTGAGTGTCAGTCCAGGGCGACAGCCCCCCGCCCCCCCAACTAAAAGATTTTGTGCCAGTCAGTATCAGCCCATCCAAGCCGATCGATACCTTCCCGCTTCTCCAATAAAACAGCCTGTATTTAAAACATTCACATCCTGTTCTTTGTTTTTTAAAAAGCCACAGGGCAAGTTCTGGAGGAAACACCCCCCCACCCCACCCCCACCCCCGTGACTCCAAAGAAGCTGAGTAAACAGCTGCATTCGGTGACAGGATATAAGACTCAAGGGGCAGGCAGCAGCAACGGGTGTTTGGGGCTTATTAGCCAATGGGCTTATTTGTTTGGACAGGTTAAGCTAGGTAAATAGATTCCACAAGCGGCAGTGACCAGAATTGCTTCAGTGATGGAATGGTACTTTGGGGTCAGCCAGGGACGCTGGGCAGCTCTCTGTTCTCTGTAGGGCTTGCTTTAGAGACCATTTGGCCTCAGGGTATATTGAATGGCACACACAGGACACACGTGACATCAGGTAACGCAGTTTCAGGTGTCTTCATTCCAGGGCCCTCAACCTTGGTGGATGTACAAACACTCTGGATTTTTCCAAACGAGTCACGTGCGGCACCACAAAATACTGGGGGAGGGGGGGCAAAATCATAGGTGTTTGGGAGGTTTCAAGCCAAGCATTCTCCTACATAAGAACATAAGAGAAGCCAAGGTTGGATCAGGCCAATGGCCCATCCAGTCCAACACTCTGTGTCACACAGTGGCCAAACATACCGGGTGCCATCAGGAGGTCCAGCAGTGGGGCCAGGAGGACACTAGAAGCCCTCCCACTGTTGCCCCCCCCCCAAGCTCCCAGAATACAGAGCATCTCTTGCCCCAGACCGAGAGTTCCTACCTATACCTTGTGGCTAAGAGCCACTGAGGGACCCCTGCTCCATACGTATATCCAATTCCCTCTCATAAGAACATAAGAGAAGCCAGTGTTGGGTCAGGCCAGTGGCCCATGCAGTCCAACACTCTGTGTCACACAGTGGCCAAAAATGCCAGGTGCCATCAGGAGGTCCAGCAGTGGGGCCAGGACACTAGACCCCCCCCACACACACTGTGGCCACCCCCAAGCACCAAGAAGACAGAGCATC